CCTACTGTACATGGTATACAGGCCTAGCTGACATCAATGACATACTACTATATAGAAAGCAGCTTGTCATGCTGAGCATTTTGGGCAAATTAGGTCAGTTTTGTCACAGGATGAGACCCACACCAGTCGACTAACACCGAGGTACCCATTTTAAACTGATGGGTGAACAGGGACAGGGACAGCAGGTGTCTTATGGAAACACATCCCTAATGTTTTCCAGTCATACTGGAGGAGATTCGAACCCCAGACCTCAGTATGTGTGGTTACTGTGTTGCATACAATGAGTGGATATATATACAAAATACATTATATTGGTCTCACAGACCTCAAAAGTTACTTGAAAAATAAAATATTTGAAAAGAAAAAATAGAATAAAAGTAAATATAATATTACCAAGTGAGCGACAGTTTAAGATTAAGATTAAAATGTTTATTTTGACAAATTACATGATTATCCAGAGGAATTTAATAGTTGGGTGTACATGCCAAAAGCCCCTTTGTATGCAAAGCATTTCGGGCAAACTTGAAGATTAACTTAAGATTAGTAAGGCAATAATACATAGTTCATATGGTCATTACATGAGTTAAAGTGAGTACAGGAAATTGAATATTCTATCAGGTAATGCTACATGGTTTTGTTAAGTCTAGTAGAGGCTTGTTACAATACTGAATTAGTTAACAAAGATTACAGTATTACAAGTATTGCCGATGTTGCCATCAGTCGTTCATTTTCTGTCAACTTCACGCCTCTATTTATTTACTTATTTATTTATTAATTTGAACATGATACAGAGAAGTACAAGGAATACAATTTTTGAAGTGCAGCATGCCAAAGCCCCTTGTATGCAGAGCATTATGGACAGGCTTAAAATTAACTTAAGATTAACTAAGCAATGATATATTCAGTGGTACAAAAATTATTGTAAAACAGATAACAATTTAGTACAAATGAGTATTACAAAGACAGGTCATATGGTCATTTACTGTGTTACTGTGTAATCAGTAGAATGGAGTATTCTGTTAGGTAATTAAGTTAAATAGTAACAAAGTTTGATTGGGTCACAGGTTGACATTTATGAGATACAATTATTCAGTATTTATTTAGTATTCAGTATTTATTCAGTAACTACTGACCGCAATTTTCTTTCCTTTTATAACACTCAGAAAATTACTCTTAACATTTTGGTAAGATTTTTTTTTTTTTTTTGAAATATTTTTTGACACTGAGAGGAAGTTTGTGAGCAGGGCTCTCATCAGTGAAAGGGTTAAAGACGATTACAAAGTGCTTACAGAAAAAACTGTTTGTAATTTGAACTCTAGAGATTGCATGCTACAGTGATGGCAAGATTGTCCTGGCGAGGAAGAACTTACAGTTTATCTCAAAAATATATTCAAAGATTGGGATCTGCATGAGCCAATTAAATTTAAACAATGGGTGCATACTGATCACAAAATGCTAGAAACATGCAAACTAATGTTGGATAAATTTATCAGCAAGCTTGAGGACAAATTTGGTAGCACAAGTCACCATCTTGTGTCAAAGAATCAAAGCAAATATCTGAAATCCTTGAAAGTGAATTTAGAAGAAAGTGAAATGATTGTTTTGATGGACTTTGCTGAAAATTACTCTTTTGTTGTGCAAGATGCTGCTCAGGGTTTTCTTTGGGAAAATTCACAACCTACATTGCACCCGTTTGTTGCATACAGGTCCGCCATCACAAATCTGGCAATCAGTTATTCGGTTTCTTCAGTTATTCGGCACTAATTTTGGCAAGCATAATTTCAAATTTCCAGGGTCGCCACACCAACCTGCTGGTACTGTTTGGTGGTGCTACTTGCTGCATAAGTCATTCCAATTTCTTTTTCTCCATTTATTATTTTAACCTGCTTACTTTTAGCCCTAGCCATGGTTCCAATGAATAAAAGAAATGCTTCTCATTATGTAAAGCACCGACACAGTACATTATCCATTAAAGATAAGGTGGCTTTGAAGCCACTGTCGGTTGCCATGAGCTCAGTATCATGAAGCAGGAGAATATGCTTTATTATTATGCTAATATCAACACTACAGCTTATTTGCTTATCACAATTGATCTATGACATAATAAACAATATAAATAACATAAAACATGTTAAATACTCCAGAATAAATAATATTTGACATAACACCGAGCAGTTCAACGGAGGTATGAAGAGGATATGGTATACAAATACCATTCTCCTATCCCTGTCTTGGAGGCTTATATTAGAGAAAACGGAGTGTAGCATGTGGCTAACTGTGGTATACACTCGTACTGCACCATAAACCTGAAACAAAAAAGTTATTTTCTATATACAGATTACCACACATAGCAGCATGTGTGTAGAGAACCTAGGATAACCCAAAAAAGTCAATGTGGCTTGTTTCTAGTACCTGGCTTGGATTAGCCATATATGATTTTTGGTAAATACACCTACCATCCAACTTACGACCTGCTCGACTTACGACCACTCGACTTACGACCGTGTTTTTTTTGCCAAATTTCTGGGAAATAAACAACTATTTGTGTTGTACACAGTGTTTATCCTAAATCTTACAGTATAAAATACAGTACTAAGCATAAAAAGTAAACTAAAACATGAAATACCAAAATAAAACAATAAAATAAAGCCATTACAAAAATGTGATGTTGATATTCAGTAGTAAAGTTCGACTTACGTCCATTTCAACTTACGACCGGTTTTTCGGAACCGAACTTGGTCGTAAGTCGGATGGTAGGTGTATTCGATTCCCAGCCAGATAGAAACATTAGAAGAGTTTCTTTACACCTGTTGTCTATGTTTACCCATCAGTAAATAGGTACTTGGGTGTTACCCGGCTAGTGTGGGTGTTATCCTGGGACACTGACCTAATTTTCTTGAAATACCCAGCATAACAAGTGGCTTTCTATATACATGTAGTAGTATGTCACTGATGTCAGCTAGGCCTGTATACCTTGTACATGCACGTGTAGTAAATATATTATTATTATTATTTTTATATTATTATTATTTTCTCAGTTGTTTTTTGGGTTATCTTATTGAAACTTGGGCAATGTATGATGGAAAGATACTTCTTAACGTACACCAAAAATGAAAGAAATCAGACCATAAATAGCGAAGCCATTAGCGGCCGCTTAGCAGTATATTTTTGTATGGTTTTTATGGTTATATTCTCATTTTTTTCAGTCTCATTTGATAGAATGAAAGATATATTACAGAAATAGATATGATTTTGATTGCTTTCATGAGGAAAAGTACCTTGAAATTGCGCTCACAGTAGCGAAAATGTTCTATTCTTTAGCGAAGCTCAAGAGTAAACAAATGACATCACCGTCCAATACCTGTCCGCCTGCCAGTCCAAATTCCAATACGAAGTCAAGAATGGGTTGACATTATTTATACAATTATTACAATAATGCAGCAGTCTGCATAACAGTAAATCTTCTATTTTTTTGTGAATAAAAATTCCAAATGCTAACCAAGAGTAATATAAGAGGGGCCTGTAGCCGTGAAAATGAACAGATAAAATGTTATTTTAGTGCCAGGAATGTCTGCATTGTTTATTCTGGACCTATTTTGAAATTGGCATCTGTTGAAATTTGTGTGAAATCGGCCAAATTGCCAATTTCTGACCACTTTATTGGGTAGTTGAAATAAGTGAATGGGCGGTTTTTTGTACTCGGTTGACAAACTAGAAGTAAATAAGTTTATGCAAATACAGTTACATAGATTATCATACATAGCAGTGTATGTACAGAGAACCTAGGATAACCCAGAAAAGTCAGACAAAGTGACTTATTTCCAGTACCTGGCTTGGGCCTGCCATATATGATTTTTGGTAAATATTTTTTTCTCTCAGTTGTTTGTTGGGCTATCTCATTGAAACTTGGGCAATGTACAATGGAAAGATGCTTCTTAACGTACAACAAAAATAAAAAAGACGGACGATAAATAAGGGAGTTCACTTCTTAGCTATTAGCCGCCTCTTTGCAGTATATTTTCGTATGGTTTTTATGGTTGTATTCTCATTTTTTTGGACTCATTTGATAGAATGAAAGATATATTACAGAAATAGACATGATTTTGATTGCTTTCATGATGAAAAGTACCTTGAAATTGAACTCAAAGTAGTGGAAATGTTTGATTTTTGCCGATGTTCAATGAACTTTGTGTAAGTCAAGTTGGTTAATTTTATTAAGTGTATTCTAACCTAACCACTCTGTAATCTGGCAAACTCAGTAATCCGGCACACTACAGGTCCCAATGATGCCGGATTTGTGATTGAGAACCTGTACTATATCAATGAAACTGGTATCCTACAAGTTATAAATATATGCATCATCACAGATCACATGCAGCATGAGTCAATATCTGTTCATTCAATTCAATTCAAGTTTATTCTCTATAAGGGTTACAATGTGGGGTTTACAGGTTTTGGGTATTGTGTGGTTTACATGTTATAAAATACTAATTACAGAGGGGGCCACTAGGACACCTAGCATGGCTAGGCATTTCGGGTAGACTTAAATTAATTAGATTAATTCATCTGCAAGCTGATCGATTTTTTGAAGACAAGAACAAAAGTTGCTAGAATCCACTATTTTAGTGATGGCTCAGGTGTTCAATATAAGAACTTCAAAGAATACACAAATAACCAGCACATAAAAGAGAGAAGCTTACGACGACGTTTCGGTCCGACTTGGACCATTTACAAAGTCACACTAAACAGAAGTTGAGCAGGACGGCTATATATAGGCAGGAAGAGGTGGTGGTGGTAGTAGTAGTAGTAGTACAAGAATGGTATATAATACCGACAAGATGAAATTAAGACACGCGCAACACCCGGGCATCCTTGTCATAGACGTTTCGCCATCCAGCCAGCCACTGGATGGCGAAACGTCCACAACAAAGACAACCAGACGCTGCACATGTGTCTTAATTTCATCAGTAGTAGTAGTAGTAGTAGTAGAAGTAGTAGTGGTAGTGGTAGTGGTAGAAGTGGGGAATAAGGAGGACAAGCCAGTCAAATACAAAGGAAGGGGAGCACTGCAAGAGAGCTAGGTGCCCACAGAGGGAGAGCAAGCGCACAGAGGTGCGTGAAAGGGGAAGTGGTGAAATAAATGAAGGAACAGAAACACGAGACAGAAGAGAGAAAGACAACCCAGAGGAGAAAAAGGAAAGAGGAAAGGGGAAGAGGGAGAAGAAGAAAAAGAAAAAGAAAAAATGAGGAGTCAGGTTAAGTCACGGGTGTTCTGAAGTTGGGAGCATTTTACAATGTAGTGGGAGAGGAAGGCATCTACAGAGACGAAGCCAGGGCTAAGATTCATACAAGGAAAGTTGTGTATTATAGAGGATTCAACTAGACAGCAACTGTTCGAGTTGGAAGTAGGGAAGACAGTTTTAGCAGAAGACCAGTCAACAGGATGGCTATGATCTCTGACGTGACAGAAAAGAGCATTGTTAGTATTGGCAAGCCTAACACTATTTTTGTGCTCCCTAAGTCTGTCAGAAAGAGATCGACCAGTTTCTCTGAAGTATTGAAGAGGACAGGAGCAAGAAATAGAGTAGACATCAGGAACATCTGTAGAGGGAGGAGAGGTATGAACGAGATTAGTGCTTAGAGTGTTAGTCTGGCGGAAGGTAAGCTTGATGTCTAAGGGACGGAGAGAACTGTTGAGATTAGAAAGACCGGATATGTAGGGAAGGCAGAGGATAGAAGAGTTCCCAGGAGTAGAGAGTTTGGGAGAGAAGAAATTGCATTTAGCATGTGAGAGGGCAGAGTCTATGAAATGGGAAGGGTAGCCAAGATGGGAAAACGAATTATGAAGAGTGGAAATTTCTGCTGGAAGGAACTGAGGATCACAGATGAGGAGGGAATGGAGAAAGAGGGAGATAAGAACACTTTTCTTGACAGGGGAAGCATGATAGGAATAGTAGTGAATGTACATACCACTGTGCATAGGCTTTCGGTAAACGGAAAAGGAAAAACCTGTATCTGAGCGGTGGACATGGAAATCAAGGAAAGGAAGCAAGGAATTAGATTCCCATTCAGCTTTAAACTTAATGGAAGGGGCAAGATCATTAAGAGCTTCAAGAAAAGGTTGGAAGAGACTGGAGTCATGAGGCCACAGAGCAAAGATGTCATCCACATAGCGAAGCCAGAGTGAAGGTTGCACATCGAGGGTAGGAAGAAGAACAGTCTTGAAGTTTTCCATGTAAAGATTAGCAAGGACAGGAGAGAGAGGAGAGCCCATAGCGACACCGAAGGTTTGAGAATAATATTTCCCTTGGAAGGAAAAGGAGTTAGAGTCCACACAGAGGCGGATAAGATCAAGAAAGACATCAGTAGGTATAGGGAGATGTAGAAACCCTTCATGAGCCTTCTCTCTAAGGAAATCAAGGACATCATCAAGAGGGACATTGGTGAAGAGGGACTCAACGTCAAGACTAAGCATCTTACAGGTTGGGAGAGAGTGAACCCGTTCAATGAAGTCTTGAAAGTGACGGAGGTGGGCAGGAGAAAAAGTACCAAGAAAGGGAGTGAGGATTTTGGCCAGCCAAGAAGCAAGAGAATAAGAGACAGAACCTCTAGAGGATATGATAGGACGAAGAGGAATATCAGGTTTATGAGTTTTGGGAAGGCCATAGAAATAGGGAAGAGAGGGACAAATGACACGAAACCGTTGAACAAGGTCAAAGTCAGGAGGACAGAGGTCATAGAGAGTCCTTAGTTTCTTGTTGAAAGTTCTCTTGATGCGATCAAGAGGGTTGGAAACGAGAGGAGTGTAGGTACGTGAGTCAGAGAGCAAGACATCAGCTTTACGGAGGTAATCCTCGCGATCAAGGATAACTACCGAATTACCTTTGTCAGAAGATAGTATGACAATGTTAGTGTTGGATTTAAGAGAAGAAAGGGCAAGTTGGTAATGGCGTGGAAGGTGGTGATTCTTAGAAAACAGACTAACAAGAGCAGGAAGGAGAGCGCCACGAAAAGTGGACAAGTCAGGAAGATTACGGGATCGAGACTGACGAAAGAAATCAAAAGAGCTAATCAGGGCAATACCAGCACGAGGAGTAGGCAAAGTGGCAAAGGAAAGGCCAAAACATCTTTGCTCTGTGGCCTCATGACTCCAGTCTCTTCCAACCTTTTCTTGAAGCTCTTAATGATCTTGCCCCTTCCATTAAGTTTAAAGCTGAATGGGAATCTAATTCCTTGCTTCCTTTCCTTGATTTCCATGTCCACCGCTCAGATACAGGTTTTTCCTTTTCCGTTTACCGAAAGCCTATGCACAGTGGTATGTACATTCACTACTATTCCTATCATGCTTCCCCTGTCAAGAAAAGTGTTCTTATCTCCCTCTTTCTCCATTCCCTCCTCATCTGTGATCCTCAGTTCCTTCCAGCAGAAATTTCCACTCTTCATAATTCGTTTTCCCATCTTGGCTACCCTTCCCATTTCATAGACTCTGCCCTCTCACGTGCTAAATGCAATTTCTTCTCTCCCAAACTCTCTACTCCTGGGAACTCTTCTATCCTCTGCCTTCCCCACATTTCCGGTCTTTCTAATCTCAACAGTTCTCTCCGTCCCTTAGACATCAAGCTTACCTTCCGCCAGACTAACACTCTTCGCACTAATCTCGTTCATACCTCTCCTCCCTCTACAGATGTTCCTGGTGTCTACTCTATTTCTTGCTCCTCCTGTCCTCTTCAATACTTCGGAGAAACTGGTTGATCTCTTTCTGACAGACTTAGGGAGCACAAAAATAGTGTTAGGCTTGCCGACACTAACAATGCTCTTTTCTGTCATGTCAGAGATCATAGCCATCCTATTGACTGGTCTTCCGCTAAAACTGTCTTCCCTACTTCCAACTCGAACAGTCGCCGTCTAGTTGAATCCTCTCTAATACACAACTTTCCTTGTATGAATCTTAGCCCTGGCTTCGTCTCTGTAGATGCCTTCCTCTCCCACTACATTGTAAAATGCTCCAAACTTCAGAACACCCGTGACTTAACCTGACTCCTCATTTTTTCTTTTTCTTTTTCTTCTTCTCCCTCTTCCCCTTTCCTCCTCTGGGTTGTCTTTCTCTCTTGTCTCGTGTTTCTGTTCCTTCTTCATTTATTTCACCACTTCCCCTTTCACGCACCTCTGTGCGCTTGCTCTCCCTCTGTGGGCACCTAGCTCTCTTGCAGTGCTCCCTTCGTTTGTATTTGACTGGCTCGTCCTCCTTATTCCCCACTTCTACCACTACCACTACCTCTTCTACTACTTCTACTACTACTACTACTGATGAAATTAAGACACATGTGCGGCGTCTGGTTGTCTTTGTTGTGGACGTTTCGCCATCCAGTGGGTGGCTGGATGGCGAAACGTCTACTATAGGGATGCCTGGGTGTTGCGCGTGCGTCTCAATTTCATCTTGTCGGTATTATATACCATTCTTGTACTACTACTAGTACTACTACTACCACCACCACCTCTTCCTGCCTATATATAGCCGTCCTGCTCCACTTCTGTTCAGTGTGACTTTGTAAATGGTCCAAGTCGGACTGAAACGTCGTTGTAAGCTTCTCTCTTTTATGTGCGGGTTATTTGTGTATCGTTCCAGTCATGGTATTGTGCCTTTTCTTGTTATTTAACTTCAAAGAATTTTTCTAGTTTTTTGACAAGAATATACGCTGGAACCTTGGTTTTCGTTTTTAATTCGTTCCAGAGTTGGACGAAAACCAAATTCAATGTAATCTAAAGCAATATTTCCCATAAGAAATAATGTAAATCTGATTAATCTGTTTCAGACACCCAAAAATATTAACAAAAAATACATTTTATAGTGAATAACTATAGTTTTACATACAGAAAACAATGAGAAATAAATATAAAGCACTAATGAAATGGATAAATGAACATTTAAAACACTTTTACCTTTATTGAAGAGTCTTGTTGACGACAGCAAGGAGGGGAGAGGAAGGAGAGTTTATTGTTTGGAGACAGGACAAAATACTTCAATATGATGCTAATATCAACTCTACGGCTTATTTATCTATCACAATTTATCTAATATGACATAATAAACAATATTAATAACCTAGAAACATGATATATACTCTAGAATGAATATGTCACAACGTATGTGACTAGTAGTGGCGGCGGCAGCTGCCATTCCCTCTTGTGTTCTGACTACATATCTTCCCATGCTTTCATTATAAGAGGAAACAGAGTGTTTGTGAGGCTAACTGCACTAGATCACAGTTTCATAAGGAAAACACTCTGTCAGCATAGTTGCTGATCCCTGTATTTCCAGTATTATATAGCACAGCATATTAGTATCATCCATGTGCTTTAGATACGAGACCCCTTGTAGGCCTGTGGCTTTGTGTGACGTCACGGGATACAGATGTGTGGGCTCATGCCCCTGCCCCGGCCTCACTCGGCGGCAGACCATCCAGGCGTAGACAGGCAAGGCAGCTGGGCTCCATCCCTCATCTCAGTCTGACAATGTAGTTACCATCCTACAAGTGTGTCTATCTTCAACCTGCGATATCTCCATTTAAGAACCCTTTACGATAACTCAAATGTACGTATGTTATAAATAAGAAATATTGTATAAAAACACAACAGAGAATGTAAAGAAATAAGGTGGTTACTGTATGTATACTAGTACACACTTACCTTGGAGGAGATGCTGGTAGAGGTTTAGGGTGGTGAAAGATAGCGCAGGGCGATGTATGTTCTTAGTACAAGAAACTGCCTATTTACCGATTTCAACTACCCAATAAAGTGATCAGAAATTTGCAATTTGGCCAATCTCACGCAAATTAAAAAAGATGCCAATTTCAAAACAGGGTCCAGAATAAACAATGCAGGCATTCTTGGCACTAAAATAACATATCGTCTGTTCATTAGTCACATCTCCAGGCCCTTCTTATATTACTCTTGCTTTCTATTTTGATTTTTTATTCACACAAAAAATAGAAGATTTACTGTTATGCAGACTACTGCATTATTGTAAAAATTGTATAAATAATATCACTGCACTAGTGAAAGAATATTAGACTCCCCAGTTGACATGTATTGGATGTGTGGTGTGATTTGCTTACTCCTGAACATTGGTGAAAATCTAACATTTCTGCTACCTGGAGCTCAATCTCAAGGTCGTTTTCATCGTGAAAATAATCAAAATCATCTCTATTTCTGTAATAGGTTTTCCATTCTATCAAATGAGACCAAGAAACTACAGGAAAATACTATAGGGAAATACACCTCAAAGTCGGCGTTTTAATCCAAAAACACGTTTTTTTCTCTCATTATGCACTGCGTGCTGCAGGATTTTTTTTTTGTACAGTGCACACTGACCATACAGACCCATTCTCTCACATGTGGGCCTACCAGCTTTCTCCTGCTTGATTTGAAGCCTCTAGAATTATTGAGTATATATACGTCCAAAACACTGGCTCGCGAGACGTATATATACGGCCAAAACAGTCAAAGGGTTAAAATGTCAGGCTTATGGATATCACAACTGCTCCCTAGTAATTAGGTAATTATGACACTTGCATTTACGACAACAGATGATGGACTGGAAATGTTAATGAATTATCAGTGGAAGAAAGTGACGCCTTGATAAAGATTATGCACCAACATGGTCTGGCCAGTTCATTTTACTGGTCTGAAAGACAGGACATTTGTTGGGTGCCAGAGCAACACCTCAGTTCCATGCTTCCTGTCCCATCAGTTGCATCATCTGGGTGACAATATCAGTTTTCAGAAAAAAATTTGGCAAATGTGAGCCACCAATTTAAAGCAATACAATGAAGAAATCAAGTAGTCAGGACTTCGGCTTGGGAACCAACTGATGATACCCGCTGTAGGCTTGGAAACCTAGATTAAGCAGAACCATTATTGGCTTGGGAACCAAACAGATACCCAGCAAGGCTTTGGAACCTCAACAAAAGAAACAAAGACTGCAGGCTTGAGAACCTGAAGAAAGAAACCCACCTGTGGCTGAGATTGCATGGCTATCGGCATGATGTCTATAGCGATGGGGTTGCTGGTTCATACTGATTGAACCAGTAGTGGAAATGCCACCATGGACCAACACAATAAAATACCTCTATGCTTTTCTCAGAGTGGTGAAAAAATGATCACATGACACGTCCAGCTTAAAAAGTTAACCATACTGCGGATTTTTGCAGAGCACTGAAGCTACACTAACCTGTTGAATTCTGATCCTTATTTTTTGAGCATTATATGGGTGCAATGAAAAACTGAAGCAACTTTTTCGATGGTTTAAAACATGCTCTTTCTAATGGATGCAGTCTGAAAATGTTTTAAGATGACTTCTGCAAAAGTGCATTGAAAATACTCTATTTTCTACATTTTTTTTTAATATGAAAATTTAAATTCAAATTTAAAAGGAATGAAACATTCTCCAAAGTTGGAACTATATATTTGTTAACAAGATTATGTCACAAAATAGTAAATTAAATTTCATTGAGACATTTTTTGATGCATTGATATTTTTACCGCACTCTGAGGCTCAGTCACTAAGTCAGTTTAAAAAATGTAAATCCATATTAGTTCCACTGGATTGAGCCTAAGAAATTGTGTAAGACAGCAAAGTTTCATTTAATTTAGTAGAAAGAGTGAGAAATTATTTTGATTCAAATCTGCCAAAATTTCAGAGGGTTACGGTACATGGTCGTGGGATAGTGTCAAACAAAGGGTTCTATCTTGGCAACCATTTCACTAACAGATCTAAAATTTTACCAAACTTAGTTTGAGACATGTAAGATTCAGCACACCAAGTTTTATCAAAATCCATGAAGGTGAGGTGGGGCACATTTCTAAAATCAGACCACTTGACATAAAATGACCCACAATAAAAAAATAATTGCACCAAAACTGCAAAATAACAAAAAAAGTTCAGAGGATGAGCAACAAAACCTCGAAGAGATGTTTACAGCATCCAGTGAGCATTCTGTAAGCATGTGACCCGAGCTGTTCGTGCTGTCAGCTGACAACCAAGAGATCATACAAAAAATAGGACATTTTTCCTCAAATCCCTTGTTTGAAACCCGATTTGTTCAACACATAATGCGGTCAACAACTGAGAATCCACTGTATATAAGCCAGTCACAGTTGTTATTATCATTATCAAGTATGATGTACTGTACATAACTGTATGTACTATATTTTTATACAACTGGTAGCTCATGGGACCACCGTTGTATACATGGCCCGTCATTAACCTCAATGTTGTCTTGCAGCGAATGACGGTATACGTATATCTATTTATTTTGACAAAATTGGTTACAATAATTAATGGAGAGGTGGGGGGGGGGGGGGAATATATAGTTTACCTGGAGAGAGTTCCAGGGGTCAACGCCCCCGCGGCCCGGTCTGTGACCAGGCCTCCTGGTGGATCAGAGCCTGATCAACCAGGCTGTTACTGCTGGCTGCATGCAAACCAACGTACGAGCCACAGCCCGGCTGGTCAGGAACCGACTTTAGGTGCTTGTCCAGTGCCAGCTTGAAGACTGCCAGGGGTCTGTTGGTAATCCCCCTTATGTATGCTGTGAGGCAGTTGAACAGTCTCAGGCCCCTGACACTTATTGTATGGTCTCTTAACGTGCTAGTGACACCCCTGCTTTTCATTGGGGGGATGTTGCATCGTCTGCCAAGTCTTTCGCTTTCGTAGTGAGTGATTTTCGTGTGCAAGTTCGGAACCAGTCCCTCTAGGATTTTCCAGGTGTATATAATCATGTATCTCTCCTGCCTGCGTTCCAGGGAATACAGGTTCAGGAACCTCAAGCGCTCCCAGTAATTTAGGTGTTTTATCTCTGTTATGCGTGCCGTGAAGGTTCTCTGTACATTTTCTAGGTCAGCAATTTCACCTGCCTTGAAAGGTGCTGTTAGTGTGCAGCAATATTCCAGCCCAGATAAAACAAGTGATCTGAAGAGTGTCATCATGGGCTTGGCATCCCTAGTTTTGAAGGTTCTCATTATCCATCCTGTCATTTTTCTAGCAGATGCGATTGATACAATGTTATGGTAGTTGAAGGTGAGATCCTCCGACATGATCACTCCCAGGTCTTTGACGTTGGTGTTTCGCTCTATTTTGTGGCCAGAATTTGTTTTGTACTCTGATGAAGATTTATTTAATTTCCTCATGTTTACCATATCTGAGTAATTGGAATTTCTCATCATTGAACTTCATATTGTTTTCTGCAGCCCACTGAAAGATTTGGTTGATGTCTGCCTGGAGCCTTGCAGTGTCTGCAATGGAAGACACTGTCATGCAGATTCGGGGGTCATCTGCAAAGGAAGACACGGTGCTGTGGCTGACATCCTTGTCTATGTCAGATATGAGGATGAGGAACAAGATGGGAGCGAGTACTGTGCCTTGTGGAACAGAGCTTTTCACTGTAGCTGCCTCGGACTTTACTCTGTTGACGACTACTCTCTGTGTTCTGTTAGTGAGGAAATTATAGATCCATCGACCGACTTTTCCTGTTATTCCTTTAGCACGCATTTTGTGCGCTATTACGCCATGGTCACACTTGTCAAAGGCTTTTGCAAAGTCTGTATATATTACATCTGCATTCTTTTTGTCTTCTAGTGCATCTAGGACCTTGTCGTAGTGATCCAATAGTTGAGACAGACAGGAGCGACCTGTTCTGAACCCATGTTGCCCTGGGTTATGTAATTTATGGGTTTCTAGATGGGTGGTGATATTGCTTCTTAGGACCCTTTCAAAGATTTTTATGATATGGGATGTTAGTGCTATCGGTCTGTAGTTCTTTGCTATTGCTTTACTGCCCCCTTTGTGGAGTGGGGCTATGTCTGTTGTTTTAGTACCTGTGGGACAACCCCCGTGTCCATGCTCTCTCTCCATAGGATGGTAAAAGCTCGTGATAGGGGCTTCTTGCAGTTCTTGATGAACATGGAGTTCCATGAGTCTGGCCCTGGGGCAGAGTGCATGGGCATGTCATTTATTGCCTGTTCGAAGTCATTTGGCGTCAGGATAACATCAGATAGGCTTGTGTTAACCAAATTCTGTTGCTCTCTCATAAAAAATTCATTTTGATCTTCGACTCTCAGTCTGGTGAGCGGCTTGCTAAAAACTGAGTCATATTGGGACTTGAGTAGCTCACTCATTTCCTTGCTGTCATCTGTGAAGGACCCATCTTGTTTAAGTAGGGGCCCAATACTGGACGTTTTTCTCGACTTTGATTTGGCATAGGAGAAGAAATACTTTGGATTTCTTTCGATTTCATTTATGGCTTTTAGTTCTTCCCGCGATTCCTGACTCCTATAAGATTCCTTTAGCTTAAGTTCGATGCTTGCTATTTCTCTGACCAGTGTCTCCCTACGCATTTCAGATATACAGTGGACCCCCGCATAACGATTACCTCCGAATGTGACAAATTATGTAAGTGTATTTATGTAAGTGCGTTTGTACGTGTATGTTTGGGGGTCTGAAATGGACTAATCTACTTCACAATATTTCTTATGGGAACAAATTCGGTCAGTACTGGCACCTGAACATACTTCTGGAGTGAAAAAATATCGTTAACCGGGGGTCCACTGTATTGACCTCTTTTAGCTGCTCTGTTATTCTTTTCCGTCGCCTGTAAAGGGAGTGCCTGTCTCTTTCTATTTTACATCTACTCCTCCTTTTTCTTAGAGGAATAAGCCTTGTGCATACATCGAGTGCCACCGAGTTAATCTGTTCTAGGCATAAGTTGGGGCCTGTGTTGCTTAGTATATCTTCCCAGCTTATATCGGTTAGGACTTGGTTTACTTGGTCCCACTTTATGTTTTTGTTATTGAAGTTGAATTTGGTGAATGCTCCCTTGTGACTAATTTCATTATGTCGGTCTGGGGCTCCACGCATACATGTCTGAACCTCAATTATGTTGTGATCTGAGTATATTGTTTTTGATAGTGGTGACAATAAGTGCACAAGCATGAAAACTGATGGGATTTGGATAATTAGGTTGCATTAAATATACAGTACAGTGGACCCCTAGTTATTGGCCATAATCCGTTCCAGAAGGTCGGCCTAAATCCGAAAAGGATGAAAACCGAAGAAATATTTCCCACGAGAATTAATGTAAATACAATTAATCCATTCCAGACACCCAAAAATATTAACAAAAAATACATTTTTCAAAGATAAACTATAGTTTTACATACAAAAAACAATGAAAAATAAATATAAAGCACAAATTTTAATGATAAATGAACATTACATACCTTTATTGAAGTCTCTTGTTGGCGTATGAAGAAGGCGAGGAAGGGAGAGGGAGTTGGGAATCCCGCTCCATAAGGACTTCAAGTATCAAAACCCTCTCTAGGGTTACTTCCCTTCTTTGTCATTTACTGCCACAGTACATTCAATACTGACCTTAAAATATTTGTGATGTTGGGCGAGAGGTGAGTAGTATTTATGTGTAGGAAGTCAGTGTAGGCAGCGGTAGATGTAGGCACACGTATGTGTGCCCCCCCCCCGGGCTACACTACACAGCCATATTATTACCATGTTCACTGAGTTTAATCATTTCTAACAACCACCTTTAGATGCCATCATAAACAAAGGGAGAAGTAATGAATAATTATGCCGAGAATTGTAAACAAACGCGTATGAAGGGCAGTGACTGGGCCAGACACCAGATTCACAGTTTTTGTTAACGCTGAATCAGAGAAAACGTAATGTTTACTCTCCACCTGACTCACCATTCAATAGCATATAAACAGTGCATGTTTATATGCTATATAACATGTTTCTTATATAATTTTGAAGAAAATATCATAGATGGATAAATAAAAATGTCTATTTTAACCTAAAATAAGACATTTAATGTGCCAAAGAGTGATTATTATTAAACATGCATCGCATATAAACATTGCATGTTTTTATATAAATACTATGTAACGTGTTTCTTTGGGCCCTTGGTGGATTATTTCGTAGTCACAACCACAAAAAAACAATGGATTATAGCAAAATGTTTGGATGAATGTGCGGTGGAGTGGTGGGAGGACGCGTCCAATACGGCCAATTTCTGAGTTGCCGGCCAAAATACAGGATAGAATTTTGGACAAAAAAGCGGCCAAAATCTGACTTGGCCGATATCCACACCAGCCAATATCCGGGGTCCACTGTACTTATCATTTACATATATTCCATCAATGCAAATTTACATCAAATTCAGGAGGTAGATGTATGACTATCTTTGAGGTTCCCTATTTTTGGGCCTTTAATTTGCATTGATTTTCTATTATAATTAGTCTGTGCACTCTGTTGCATGCTTTTAATAGAACTCAGCCAAAATTCATGATACTATTCATTAAAACTTTAATTGATTATACAATCTCTCCTCACTTTGTGACGTACTCGTTTACCAAGGACTCGGACTTATGACATGTCTCTGCGCAGTATGCATGCATAAATAATGTACATGTATATTAGAGCTGGTTTCCTCTAGTTTGTTTATTAGAATATACAGTACACTACTGTATAAACATTTAAAAATATACCAGAAATGTTATAAATGATCCAAAGGTGACATTAAAACAATCAAAGATGGTGGACACAAACCCACTACCATTATAGTACGATTCTCACTTAGCGACGAATTCATTTACTGACGCAGTCTTAGGAGCGAATCTCTGTTGTTAACCCTTTGACTGTCGCGGCCGTATATATACGTCTTACGAGGTACCGTGTTTGACATATATATACTCATAAATTCTAGCGGCTTCAAATCAAGCAGGAGAAAGCTGGTAGGCCCACATGTGAGAGAATGGGTCTGTGTGGTCAGTGTGCACCATATAAAAAAAATCTTGGAGCACGCAGTGCATAATGAGAAAAAAAAACTCCGACTGTTTTTTTTAATTAAAATGCCGACTTTGTGGTCTATTTTCGTATAGTATTTATGGTTGTATTCTCGTTTTCTTGGTCTCATTTGATAGAATGGAAAACATATTATAGAAATAGAGGTGATTTTGATTGATTTTACTATAAAAAGAACCTAGAAATGGAGCTCAAAGTAGGGGAAATGTTTGATTTTTGCCAATGTTCAAAAGTAAACAAATGATGCCATTGTCCAATAAATGTCCAACTAGCCATTCTAATATGCGGTCATGAATGGGTTGATGTTATTTATACAATTATTACAGTATTGCAGTAGTCTGCATAATAGTAAGTCTTCTATTTTTTGTTTGAATAAAAATTCAAAATAAAAAGCAAGAGTAATATCAGAAAGGCCTGGAGACATGACTGATGAGCAAAGAAAATGTTATTTTAGAGCCAGGAATGTCTGCATTGTTCATTCTGGACCTTATTTTGAAATTGTCATATTTTTTAGTTTTCGTGAAATTGGCCAAATTGCAAATTTCTGACCACATTATTAGGTAGTTGAAATCGGTAAATGGGCATTTTTTTGTACTCAATCGATAGCAAAAATGGAGTTCTAAATAAATAGCTATGAGTTTGGGCGATTGGAACAATGGAATTAGCCGAAAATAGGGCTCAAAGTGGGCGAAATAGCCGATTTGTAAACAGCGCCGAGGTCGCTAACTTTGCCAGAGCATAATTCCGTCAGTTTTCCATCAAATTTCGTTTTTTTTGGTGTCATTACAATCGGGAAAAGATTCTCTATCATTTCATAAGAAAAAATAATTTTTTTTTTAAAATTTTGCAACACCAGAAGACACCTCAGGATTGGGGGTTGTGACAGTCAAAGGGTTAAGTGACGAGAGGCTGTACTGGTATTTAATGATGAGACAGGTGGCATATGCAGTCAATGGCACTATTGGCATCAGTATTCACCTTGTCACAAACACTATCAGAGTTGATGTTTACAAACATAGGATTGCATGGTTACAAACTTATCATAATGTTAAGGAAAAAATGTCAAGACTTTTATTGAACTAAATAAACTGAATGAAAATGGTCTTTCTAATATGTACACTGATTTCATCATTGCTTAGTTAATCTTAAGTTAATTTTAAGCCAGCCCATAATGCTATGCATATAAGTGGCTTTGGCATGCTGCTCTTACCTGTATTTTTTGTACCTCTGTATGTATGATTAAATTACTACTAAATGTACCATACAAGTATTTATTCTGTACAAAAGTCGAGTATATTTTAATGAAACTTAAGAATAGTGCCCACCATTATTTCTCACAGTAAGTTGAAAATAACACTAGCTAACATACTATGTACTTGCCCCCAGAACAGCCAAAATGCCATATTAAGTCCTTAACCACTATTTTTGCCTTCTGCATGTTGATGCATAATCATGCACAAGATTCCTTCACTCGTACATGTATGTTCCCACTTCCATTAACTAAACTGATATTGTATATGTATTATATTTACAGGATGTATTTCTGGCATACTGAAGATTATCAAATTTATTATTTTACTAATATTTATTATAATTCTTGCCAAATGCTGTTTACTAAAATCTAGATGTATTTATTAGAATTAGTATTACCACAAAATATTTTTATATACTCAGAATGTGTTGTGTATATTTACTTAATCATATAAATTGTCAAATGATTAATCATCTAAATAGTCAAATGATTAATTTTACAATACTAATTTTATTCTTAGGTTAAAAATCATTGTTGACTTTTTTCATTTCTTATTTCTTCAGTAGAAATACCATAGGGGTTGTGGTGGCAGCAGCACCAACACATTCCTAACAGTATAGAACAACACTTCCCAAATCTAACCTAACTTAACCTAATTCAAGTCTAATTTAGGTGGAATCACCTTCAAAGCAACCAAAATACCTCGACACATTCACAGAAGACCATTGTGAATGTAGTATTATGTCATCATGCATAAGCACCGAGGCTCCCACCACCTTCACTCAATGCTATAACTGCTGCTGTTGCCACAGTAGTCTCCACAACATGCAGTATATCACTTGTTCCACGATTCTTACTGTGTTTACTAGTTATGTTTACATTCCACGAGTCAAAGTGATAGAACAAATGTTTTACACTGAATCACACATACAGGACTACTGCTCCATGAAATACCATATAATGCAATAAAATAACCATCTACTCTATGAGGCATTAAAATAAATTATGGTAATGCTTGTATTATAATAATAACAATCTTTATTTCTACAAGTATATATACAAGGTATACAGGCCTAGCTGACATCAATGACATACTACTATAAAGAAAGCCCCTTGTTATGCAGAGCATTTTGGGCAAATTAGGTCAATTCTGTCCCAGGATGCGACCCACACCAGTCGACTAACATCCAGGTACCTATTTTACTGATAGGTGAATATGGACATCAGGTTTCTTAAGGATACACATCCTAATGTTTCCAGCCGTACCGAGGATGGACCCCCCTGGACCTCGGTGTGAGTCGAGTGCACGAGCACACAAGGTATGGGACAAATCTGCATAAGTACAATCATCATACAAAGTTTCGTGTGTAAACTACTTAGAATAACCCAAAAAAGTCAGACAACTACTTATTTCCACTGGGGTCGTAACTTCAACTTAACCAACTGGTAAACAAGCCCATGACGAATAATTCTGAATGCCACATACCTTTTAAAGGCACCAATTATATATGTGGTGTAAATAATCAAGTTGTACATTCTGGTGAACTTTCATCAGCAAACATTTACACAGAACCAGAATGTTTATTGGTAAATATTGGGATATATAAAATAAAGAAGTTGAACAAAATGTTTGAAAAAATGTAACGACCAGCATGTCATTCTGTGAATTATTAATTATCATTTATTGTGTAAGAATATATAAAATATTAGCATCAAGTGTACAAGTAAGCTGGGAAGTGTTAGTACCGGTCAAGACTTGTACATATTACCATTATTATGTGACTCTAGAGGTCACCATGTTAAACCCACTTGATAAAACACACTTATAAACTTCATATGAAGGAATAAGTTAAGAAATGTAAATGTTGGTCAATATTATTTGTCAAAGCAGTCCAAAATGTTGAAGCAAGAAACAGAGGCTAGATGTATGTGTGAGCCTCTCAGATGACTCTGAGCAGGTGGAGGGTGATCACTGTGTGGAGTGTGTGTTCAAGAAGATACTACGTGGACACACAAGTACTTACCTTAAGTCAGGGCTTACAAGTTAACATAAAATGTTAAGTTTGCCATCTCACGCAGTCACACTCCGATACAAAACACTTCCTCAGCTTGGTAAGCATTCATCGTATCATAATAAAGTTCACATATCTTCCCACAAACTTATTACCTATCTTAAACAACTTAATAATATTTTATATATAATAAATAGTAAGAATTTTAGATCAAGAATGATATATTTATTTAATACGAAAGCGAGTAAATTCAGCTGTGATCTAAACAAAGGTTGTGATTGGCTGAGGTGGTGAGCAGGAGCCAATCAGAAGGGTGGAAGTGTGGCGGGGTGATGACGTCACGAGGGCAGGCCGCGGGGGCCAGGGAGGCAGCAGTCAGCGGGGGTCACTGCTGCTGCTGCCATCACTACCTGCTACTGCTGGCTGCTGCTACTGCTGCTGCTGCTGCTGCTGCTGTATCATCCACTCCTGCTGCTCTGGCTGCTCTCCACCATCACTGACAACACTCGCTCTCCTCCCCTACAATGGCCAATGCGGCTGAGAGAGAGGAAGCAGATATGGACATTAACTCGCCAGAACAAGCAGCAGAGATGGTATAAATTGATCATTTGTATCTTGAGTGATCTGCCTGACGGTGTGGCTCATCAAGTAGCACTCATATTCATAACTAACTCGTTCACATCTTTATTTTCCAGTACCAGCCTCGTCAACTCGACTTATCCTCTCCTTCCTTGGATCGAACCTGAATACCTCTTAGTCCGCCAGGTGCTACATGACACCTACGGGTTTACCACTTCCTCCTGATTAGAATAAAACATAAATACCACATACTTAATATAAATTAAAATGCACTAGGCAAATGAGTTCTCCCTCAGAATATAAAGAATATGTTTCATAAATTTTAAGTTTTCAAATTTATTCACAGTGAATGAACCTTCGGCTCACAACCGTAGAGCCCGGGTTCAATCACGGGTTGGATGTAGGTACCTCCAGGTATACCTGATGGCTCCTCTTGACACTACAGTCCAAGCTAGTAGGTGCCCTCACTGCGAAGGTCTTGATCTCAGGAATTAGATCTAGGCTTGTCCTTGTATTAAGTCTGATTATCAGTCATTGTTGAGGCGCAGTATGACCCCGTCTGGGTACTGGCTTATATCTACATTAAAACTTAAGTAGGTACCTGGGTATTAGGTGTTTGTAGTGGATCACAAGCAAATATAAAACACCTGGATGTCTTTATTTCAAGACGTGTGGCCAACCACTGGCTGTTTTAAATTCAATAAAAGATCAACGAAAGCATATCTGTAGTGTATATTATTATGTGACTAAGAATATGCAGTTGGTGGCGTTTACTCAATAAAATACCAAAAACTGCGTATTTTGTCTTTACCGCCACACTTGTGAGTATATCTAACATTGATGTACAAGACGAAGAGTGCAAGTATGGCTTCCTAGGTTAATACAAGTGTTTCACAACAAGGAAAAGGAAGGTAGCACTGACTACCATGGGCCAGTGGGTGACGTGGACCTGTCTAGTATAGGCCGGTAGGCCTACTGCATTGATCCTTTTTTTATGTTCTTATTTGTAGGTCTACTGGCCTTTACCGTCTCTTAACCTACAGAGAGGCTTTGACGCCAGTGAGAGGCTCTTGATCCAAGGAATTGAACCAGACCTCCTCCTTGCCTCCCGTTATGAGTTAGAAGTGCTTTCCTCATGAATGTAATAATAATAATATCTTCATATCTAATAAGTTTCCACACGTATAAAGCACCACATACATAGTAGTAGTAGTAGTATTTATTATTTATTATTTATTATTTATTATTAATTATTTATTATTTATTATGATTTATTATTTTATTTATTATTAATTTATTATTTATTAGTATTTATTATTTATTATTAATTATTTATTATTTATTATTAATTATTTATTAATTTATTATTATTATTTATTATTTATTATTAATTATTTATTTATTTATTATTAATTATTTATTAATTATTATTATTTATTATTATTATTTATTATTTATTTATTATTTTTATTTTGTAACCTGATTGTATCCTGCTTAAACTTTGAGATAAAATTTATTCAGGAGATCTACAGCTGCTTTTATGGACTAGTATAAATTTATATAGTGGTTTTGGATTCACATATGTTTGCATATTGAAATAGCACATTTTTAGTTGTAACTATGTAAGAATGGAGAAGCCCTGCATCAGACCTCATGGCCTGTGCTAGACAGGTCCTTCTCACATGCAATCCTTGTAATTATAGTTCTCCAACCTGTTTTCATAGGCACCAAAAATATTATCTTCAATGATGCTTGGCAGATTGTTCCACATATCTACAGCTTTATTCCTAGACCAAATTTTATGGGTTTAGGGCTTCCACCTTGACTAAAATAATAACAATAATAATAATATTCCTAGACCAGTATTTTCCTGCATCATTCCTAAATCTGACTTTATCTAGCTTGAAATTTATTGTCCAGAATTTTTCTTGGTTAAATATTCTCAATACTCTCTATATCTCCTTTGTTTAAACTGTATAAACTAAATATAAATGCCATTCATACGCGATAAGTAATAATCAACACCTCAATCTCAGAGAGTGCACTGTAGTATGTTTGACCTCAAGACATTTCCGGAAATACTAATGAACACACAGGCATGGTAGAATCTAATGTATACCTCTTTGATATCGCTCAATTCATGTTTGAATATATACAAAAAATCTTTGCCATTTAAAGGGCCAGAAATTAAGAGTAACTTAATGAATTCAGATTAAAGCTAAAAAAAAAAAAATACTGTTCCTAAATAGTCTATTCATTAATTCACTAAAACATTCATTTAGCAACAAATTTTTTAATTAGCTAGTATCAGTTATTAGCATATTACTGCTATCCTATTGATTACACCTTTTATCCCATATCTTTATATTGTCTGATTTTTTTTATTTATTTTAATAGTGAGTTTAGGTCCTGATCTGAATCTTTTACTAATGTTGGAACATATAGACAGCCTCTGTGGGCTTAGCATTAATAGTTATTTCTTTTGCAAATACTTTACTTATTGTAGAAGATACAACAAAAATGTCAACTAACAGTTGGTATTTTAAGGTAAAATGTTTACCTGGAGTTTACCTGGAGAGAGTTCCAGGGGTCAACGCCCCCGGCCCGGTCTGTGATCAGGCCTAATGTGATAAAATTTATAAGATAAAATTTCGTTCGGATTTTTAACCCCGGAGGGTTAACCACCCAGGATAACCCAAGAACTATCTAACTTATTTCCATTGGGGTCCTCAATCTTGTCCCCCAGGATGCGACCCACACCAGTCGACTAACACCCAGGTACCTATTTGCTGCTAGGTGAACAGGACAACAGGTGTAAAGAAACGTGTCGAAATGTTTCCACCCGCTGGGAATCGAACCCGGGCCCTCTGAGTGTGAAGCGGGAGCTTTAGCCACCAGGTTAGGTTGTTCTCATACACCAAAAAAATTAATCTAGCAATCTAACTAAACCTAACTTAACCCAATAGTCATTGCAGGATGCAGAAGTGTGTAAAATTGTCATAAACTGTAAATTTTTGTTTCATACAATAAGAAGCATTCCCTTCACCATCATAAGTTATGGAAATCTACTCTCTTGAGCCTGGCTATTGGCCAGGCTCGTCTGATGCTTGCCTGGTCAACCATGCTGTTGCTGCTGGAGGCTCGCTGCCCCACATATCCGTCACATCCTGGTTGATCTGTCACCTGATGAAGATATTTGTCCAGTTTCCTCTTGAAGGCTTCTATACTTGTTCCAGCCATGTTTCTGATATCTTCTGGTAGGAGGGTGAATAGCCTGGGACCCTGAATGTTGATACAGTGTTCCCTTATTGTCCCCACTGCACTCCTGCTCCTCACTGGGTTTATTTTACACTTCCTCCCATATCTCTCACGTCCAGTATGTTATGACAGTGTGCAGATTTGGGACCAGGCCCTCTATTATTTTCCATGCATGTATTATCATGTATCTCTCTCTCCTCCACTCCAATGAATACATGTTCAAGTACACTGTATTTGCTAAAGAAGGAGCTATTATTGCTGGGGTCCACAGAGGTTCTTTGCATGCTTAAACATGCAGTAAGTAAAAAGCTTAGTTCAGACCAAGACCTAAGCAACTACTAGTTTTAACATTTCCACATCATTATTATTGCTGTTACTTTTAATTCCACTGTATTGTTATTTTATTCCTACCTGTCCAGTTATTAATTTATACATTATATTACCAACCCAGTTCTCAACCCAAACTCTCTCATTCATGTACTGGATTGTATACTGGTAATTGATGAAGGATACAAGTGTAGTGGAGACCTTTACTTGTACAATGTTTTACCCAACATTGGGTTTTTTCAAGTGCATGCCTTATCCTGTGCTTGGATAAAGTGTACAAATAAAGGTCTCCAATGCATTTGTCATTTTTTGTCAACATGAATATCCAATTATGCCAGATATCTAAGTAAATGTAATGACAATTTCAGTCCTTTACCAGAATCATTAATTCATAACCTATTTCTTACAGAAAACTGATATATGTACCAGATATACATGTACAACATACCTAGGTATATTGTACAGCCATACATAACCAGACTAGATCTAAAGGGAGCTGGAGTAACAATGTTTTTCATCTAGTCTTGAGCTGGAATGTGTAAACCTAATATTATATAAAAGCCATGTGCAATTTTCTACTTAAATGCCCGACTCTACTTACAGTAGAAGTAACATACAATAAAGATTTCTGTACACTGATACTGTATAATAAGTTTCAATAATAACCTTGGCCAAATAATTAATCATAAACACACTTTAACAAAAATCATTTAATAATTGGAATACTGTATTCACCTAAGTCAAATTGAAGACCCCCAAAGTTGCAGGCTTCACAAATATGTACTGTACATGTATTTATACCATCAATAGTTAAGCCTCTTTGAATTACTGAGAAACTGCTTCATTAGACCAGATATAGGCTAATAATAGCTTGTCAGAATGAAGTCATATAATTATGGGCAGAATGACTGATCACAATCTTGCCTTCATGATCACCAAATCATACATTCACATTCAAATGTCTGTGAGCAATTAGTAAACACAAATGCATCACAGATATTAATTGGCAGAAGCAAGTGAACAGTGTAATAGTCCCTTTCACGAGGAGTACCTTGATGTTTGTGAAGTACTCTTAGTCCAAAGAATTAGAGCTCTCCCCTTGGATTCAGTTTGATTGCATCTCACTGTGACCCCAGCCCATGGGACTTTATGCTTCTCCATGAATACAGTAATAATAATCATCTATAGTGCACACACACTGTACACTAACCATAGACCCATAACTGTAAAGAAGTAGTCTTAGTATAAAAAAATCCTCAACACTTAGCAGTCTAATTAGATAATCTTGATTTTGGAATGGACCTACTGAGATCAGTTACTGAGACTGATTACCCCCATTCCTTTGGGGCCATTTGTGTAGATTTTAAGGTTTTCAAAAATTGTGTACAATATATTAAACTGATACAGTACACATAACATAGAACAAGCATACTTCACTCAGTGAATATCTGGTTTATTTAGTGAACTTGTGTGTGTGTGTATTTAGCAGGATGTTGGTACTACCCCAGAGTTGGACCATCACCTTGACACTACTCCTTGCCAAGTTGACAAATATCTGGACTTTGTTGCTATAAATAAAAGTAAGTATTTTTAAATTAGCATTGTTTTTCTTATTAAACTTCCATATACTTTTCTTAAATGTGCTTATTAGAATTGAATTCAAGTTCAGCTTTTGGGTCCTGTCTCTTAAGCACTCATAAATACTGGAAGATGTGCCCAGTGGAGTATAGGCACACTTAGTGGCCGCTGAGAGCCCCAATTACCGAGGGGTTCCCAGATCATTAAATCTTTGTTTCTTAACCCTTTGTGAGTCACAGTAAAAGTCATTTGGTATTATTATTATCAAAGAAAAGGCTTAATTTTCAGTAACAGCATGGAAAAAATGCTTTCATGCTTGAGATGATAGTTGAAAATGGTCACTTCAACTATACACACCATAGATCCCCTAGATGTTGTTCCACTTACGGCAACATACTGTAGCACAGTATGTATTTGTGTATCTATAGAAACTTTTAAATGGTAACTTATATGTATAGTTCTTTACAGTTTGTACTACAGTACAGTGATTCTCATTCAAGGGCTCCATCCTAAGCCCAGGGTGTAGTTGATGCCAAAACCCTTTCAAGACTGGGATTGATGTTTAATGTTTGAAATTTTGAGAATATTTCAAAAACTAGTGTACATAAATGATGACATTATCCTTGGGAGAGATGTGGGTTTAAAAGATAATGAATTGGGTATGAAATGGAAGTTGTTACATTTGCACTTTGCTGATGACTGTGCTTTTGCAAGATTCTGAAGAGAGGTTGCAAAGGTTGGGAGGGTTAATAAATGAAGGAATTTGTAAGTGAACATAGAGAACAAGATTAATAAGAGTAAGTAGTAGTTTATGGAAAGAAAGATTTTTACATGAGATTAAAGGGAGGGAAGTATAGAGGAAGTAAGTACTTGGGTTCTTTGTGGTGGATATATCAACTGATGTTTGCATGAAAGACAAAGTGAATAGATGATGAAATAAAGGTAGGTGGAGTGTTAAGGCATATTTGGAACAAAATAGTTTATCATTAGAAATTACATAAAAGGAGAATACTAAAATACAGTATGTCGTTGAAGAATGAGACACTTGTGCAATATTTGAGGTAATGTTTTGCCAGCCAGTGGCTTCTTCAGTTCATTACAAAGAAGAACAGTGGAAGGTGAGGAGAATGAGGTAATCAGTTCCTCAGCCTGGAGTCAGTGTGTTCAGTTCATCAATCTTGAGAAAAGTACATCATGTGCTTGGAGATGTGGCTTATATACTAAAGTCAGGTGAGTAGGAAGAGGAAGGGGTAGAGTCACCATTGGACAAATCCACTAGTATAAGTAGGTCATGTCTGTAGCTTAGGCAAGTGTAGAAGAATTGCTTGTTTCAAGATGCCAAGATGTTAGTGTCTAACAGATGTGATGTAAAGAATTTAGAAAACCTACAAGTTGAAGAATGCAACACTTTGCAACATTGGGATCTTTAGTGAGGAAACATTTTGCCAGGTTGGAATACTGCTGTACACTAATGGCCCCTTTCAAGGTAGGCACAGTTGCAGACATGGAGAAGATACAGAAAACTTTCATTGCACATCATTTACTTACACCTGTTGTCCTGTTCACCTAGCAGCAAATAGGTACCTGGGTGTTAGTCGACTGGTGTGGGTCGCATCCTGGGGGACAAGATTAAGGACCCCAATGGAAATAAGTTACAGTCCTCGATGACGCACTGACTTTCTTGGGTTATCCTGGGTGGCTAACCCTCGGGGTTAAAATCAAAACGAAATCTTATCTTAATCTTAACATTTGAAGTTTCATGACCTGTACTCCTTGGAATGCAGGCAAGAGAGATGCATCATAAATCTATACAGTGGAACCTCAAATATCGAACTTTCTTCAGTCCAGAAGGCTGTTCGAGTCCCTTTACCGAATGAATTTATTCCCATCAGGAATAATGTAAATTAGATTAGTCCATTTCAGACCCTCAAAAATACACTTATAAAAGCACTTACAAAAATACACTTACATAATTGGTTGTGTTGGGAGCAGTTTGATTTTTGAGGTTCCACTGTATCTGGATAATCCTAGTTGGATTAGTCCCAAATCTTCACACGGAAAACACTCCCTATGAAAGCAAATGACTTGGCAGGCAATGTAACATCCCTCCAATGAAAAGCAGGGGTGCCACAAGTACACTAAGAGATGACACAGTAAGTGTCAGGGGCCCAAGACTTTTCAGCTGCCTTTCAGCATACATAAGGGGGGATTACCAATAAACCCCTGGCTGTCTTTAAGAGGGAACTAGACAGGCACCAAGTCAGTACCTGACTAGCCAGGCTGGTCAGGGACTGACTTAAGGTGCGCACATTGGACTGTATGCGACTGGCAGCAACAGCCTTGTTGATCAGGCCTTCATCCACTACAAGGCCTGGTCATGGATCGGACTGTGGTGACATTGACCCACAGCACACCCTCTAGGTATGCACTTGCTGCACAGACCCATTCATATCTAGGCCAAAATTTATCACTCGGTGATCTGAGTTCATGACATAGAACTACATCAGGGACCCTTGCCATAATGATGTAGTTCTAGGTGATAGACAGCAAAAGGGTTAACCAACTGAATGTTGAGCTGTGAGAGTATCATTTCCTTCTCATACTTAACTGAGTATTTAGCTTCCACCCGCTGTGTTGAATGACCAACATGGATTTAGTGCTTCACGTAAATACGGTGTTTCTTCACTTAGCGACGTACTCGTTTACCGACTGCTCAGACTTACAACCAACTCTCCAACCAGTGTGCAAACCTATGTATTTTAGAGCTAATTTCCTCTATTCTGTTTATGACAGTGTACAGTACACTACTGTATAAACATTCAAAAATATACTAAAAATGTTATAAATGGTGCATAGGTAACAAAAAAATATCTGAAGATGGTTGACACTACCAATACAGTATGCTTCTCGCTTAACGACCAATTTGCTTACCAACCTACTCTTTGGAATGGAACCCTGTCGTTAAGTGAGGAGAGACTGTATAAGAATTTATGACATAACATTACTAATTTCCTGGTTGTTTTCTATAGTAGATCTATTCCTATTTAACTCATTGTTACATTTGATAATTCCTCAACAAGTCTGTTAAGTTTGCTGATGGTAAGCTTTATACTGTTATAGCCAAACTTTTGTGTGGCAGTCAGTTGCCGCTTTGTACTCTTATCTTTGACTATACCACTGACTGGTTTTTCACATGATTACTTTTCATGACATTGTTACTATAAACTGAGTGTTTAATAGTTTGAAAAAGCACATTAGATGAATGTGGTTATGTTAGTTATGTACTCTAATGAGAATTATTAAATGTGTATTATTAGCTTAAAAGTTTTAATTAAATTTTTGTATTATAAATATATTGCATTAACTCAGATGGGCACCTCCTCATGGGAAGCAGCAGTTTAACTGGACGATATTGGGGAGGCTCCATATGGTACTATGATGATGTAGCACTTGCTCCACATGTTGAGAAATGTCTTGTTGGATATGAAGTTGGCTCTGGAGTGGCTGATGGGGCATTTGTTGATGACAGCACAATAATAATAGGACAGGTAAGATTTAGAACAATATTTAAATGATAGTGATATCTGTCATTAATGCAGTCCCTGTTGGGACCCCAAAATTACAAGTGCTGACTACATCGGGATTTAACCCTCAAACTGTCCAAACAGATTTACGTACACATGCGTAGTGCTTCAAATGTAGATCTACGTTTTTTTTACATATTTTCAAATATAACAATAAAAAAAAAGAGTAGATCAAGTTTTTTTTACACGTTTTCAAATGTAAAAAAAAAAAAAAAAAAAAAATCTACATTTTTTTACATACTTTCAAATGTTGAAAAAACGTAGATCTACGTTTGGACAGTTTAAGAAGGGTTAAACAAAAAATTCTTCTGAAGTATTATAGAATCTTTTTATGAAAGTAAGAAACCAAAAATATGAAATTTGACGAAAACTTATTACGAGTTATTCAAGTTGGCAAGGAAGGGGCAATTTATGCATTAGCAATTTCACCCACGTTGAACCCATTTTTAAGCCAGACTCTACCCAAACAGATTCTGTTACTATTCCATCTGTTTTTATACCTGTTTTTATGCAACGGTTAATATTTTCTCGAACATATAATGCAACTGCAGACTACTGCATTATTGTAATAATTGTATAAATAATGTCACCCAATTCGTGACTGTGTATCAGACTGGCCAGTTCAACATGTATTGGATGGTGACATTTGTTTACTCTTGAACATCAGCAAAAATCGAACATTTCTGCTACTTTGAGCTCAATTTCAAGGTACTTTCCCATCGTGGAACCAGTCAAAATCATATCTATTTCTGTAGTATTTCTTCCATTCTATCAAATGAGATCAAAAAACGAGAATACAACTATAAAAGCCATATGAAAATACATCGCAAAGTCACTGTTTTATACCAAAAGCACAGTCGTAGTTTTTTCCATGCTCCACGTGCTGCAGGATTTTTTATATAGTGCACACTTACCACACAGACCTGTTCTCTCATATGTAGATCCAGTTTACTGGTCACAGCTTACCTGAGTGAACTGAGCTCATGGCGACTGACAGGCTTCAAAGCCACCTTTTCTTTTATGGACAATGTACGGTGTATGTGCTTTACACAACGAGAAACATTTCTTTTATTCATTGGAACCATAGCTAGGGGTAAAAGTGAACAGGTTATAACAAATGGAGAAAAAGAAGTTGGAATGACTTATGCAGCAAGTAGCACCACCAAACAGTAGCAGCAGGTTGGTGTGGTGACCCCGGAAATTTGAAATTATGCTAGCCGAAATTAGTTTTGGATTACTGATTGCTGGACTAGTGATGGCTGACCTGTAGTAGATGAAAATATATCTGGTTCAAGAGTCAGTGAAAACCTTGAAGATGGCAGTTACGTTAACCCTTTCTGGGTCCAGACCCAAAATTTGAGACGTGTCCACAGGGTCCAAAAATTTAAAAAAAAAGAAGTTATTTTTTCTTATGAAATGGTAGAGAATCTTTTTCTGAAGATAATGAAACAAAAAGTACGAGGTTTGATGGAAAATTGACGAAATTATGCTCTCGCAAATTTTGATGCATCACTGATATTTAGGCATCGGCGATTTTGCCGACTTTGACTCCCATTTTAGGCCAATTGCATTATTCCAGTCAACCAAATTCTTAGCCATTTTGCTAGTGTTACTTCTCTTTTATCAATTGAGCACAAGAAATCACCAAGTCAACTGTTTCAACTACCCAATAAAGGGATTGGGAATTGGTAATTTGGCCAATTTATCACAAAGTTCAAAATATTCCTATTTCAAAATAGGGTCCAGAACAAACAATGCAGGCATTCCTGGCACTAAACTAACATTTCCTCTGTTCATTAGTTATGTTTTCAGGCTTTACAAATGAATTCCATTTTGATTTTTTATTAACATAATGAATTTTTATTCAAATAAAAAATGGAAGATTTATTATTATGCATTATTGTAATAATTGTATAAATAATATCAGCACATTTGTGAACGCACATAAGACCCCTCAGCTGACGTGTATTGGATGAGTGATGTGATTTGTTAACTCTTGAGCATCGGCAAAAATTTATCATTTCTGCTACTTTGAGCTGTTTCAAGCCATTTTCAGTACTAAAACCAATCAAAATCATCTCTATTTCTGTAAAATATTTTCCATGCTATCAAATGCAACCAAAAAATCGCAAATGCAGCTATGAAAAACATACAAGAAAACACCGTAGTCATTGTTTTAATCCAAAATTACTGTCTCAGTTTTTTTCTCTCATTATACACTTGTGCACTGCAGGATTTGTTTTATGTGGTGCACACTTACCACATAGATGTATTCTCTCATATCTAGGCCCAAATTTACCACTCACAGCTTATCTGAGTGAGCTGAGCTCATGGCGTAGAATTACGGTTTGGACCCAGAACTCAAAGCCATAGAACTACGGCACAGACCCAGAAAGGGTTAAAGGTGAAAAAAAATTGCTTTTGTTTTTAAGGATTATGTAATAAAAAAAAACTGTCTCCACTTATGGTTTATTTCAGGATTGTGGTTCGGTAGAGTTTCTGTCAATATCTACTGAGAGTACTGGAGCAATGATGACAAGTATGTGTCGAGTTGAAGAGCATCTTGATGCTGTCATCTGTGTACAGGTTACATGTAATAGAAAAACTGCACTTACTGGATCTACAGATATGAGGTGATAAATATTGTAGCTGTTGTTTATGAAGATTTATTCTTGTACTCTTTCTGTGCAATGCATGTGAATTTCTGCTCAAAATGTGATATTGTATAGCCAAAAAAAAAAGTATAAACCTGTTTATTATCAGCATTTCTGCTTCTTCATTTGGTGAAGAAATACTTAACAGGGAAAGTAGAAACTTACCATATGGAAAGGGTATATTTTGTCTTGAGTGGCTCTCTGCTATTCACTTTACCTTCCACATATTAGCACTATTGATGACAGCACCACTACACTCGAGCATCATCAGAAATGTTTCAGTTGCTTGATAAACTGACATTCATGCCTTCCAACTCTTTCGTTTCTACCTCGTAGTGTACCAAATAAAATTTTCCTTGCAACTTAATTGGCAAATTAGGGAAAAGACAACTGGAATGATGGAATAACAAAAATCATTCCCAAGTAAACTTGAGCTTTGATCCTACTCAACCCAAACCTACTTCAAACCCCCATTAGTCTCTGTAGCCTTTTCTCTAGTTTTTCTTTCAACATGTAAACTGCAAAAAGCTTGGAGGCATTGCCCCTTGAGCCATGTTTGAGCATAAATCTTCACAAAACTCCTTAATTCTAAAGAGTTTATTTACTCTACAGTTTAATCTTATTGGATTGCTCTTTCCAACCCTTTAACACCATACAAACCCACCATATGATCTGAAAAACTGCTTGAAAAACTAAGGAACCCAGCAAAAAATGGAGTGTTGAGATAGTGATACAGATAAGTTCAGTCACTGTGATGTGGTAGGCACCAAACATCTGAAGAAAAGCAATCTTAATGTATGCAAATTGTCTCTGAGGAAGAGGAGCTGAAAGGGACATAATTGAACATGCAGTGTGTTCAGTAATGATGTTCCTAGAGTCTAAATGTGAATGTCATTGTGGTATATTCAAAGTGATCCCTCACAAATGTCTCGTAGCACAAATACATCTTTTGTTATAGTCAAAACAAAGTTTTGTGGATCATCCATGCATCGTCTTACTCTAAATATGAATTTCAAATTAAATAAGATTACTAATTTTTTGCCAGTTCTAGTCATTAATAAACTTTAAGGCACTTCATCTGCATACAGCATTCTAATTTGCTGGTTTTGATTATCCTACATTTTTACTGAAGGGCAGCCAGCAAATAGATTCAGTTATTCAAGATTTTTCTGGCTCAGTATCCCCCACTCAAATCTCTCTATTCTGGTCAGTATTTCTAATGAATTTTAATATTAACCAGATAAGAGTGATGTTTTGCAGAGATATAATCTCTGAAGCACAAAATTAACCAAAATCTGATACAAAATTTGTTATACAGACTTGTATGTTATTCACAGTTTCTAGCTTTTGCAAGACCTCTAAGTATTTAACGCACACAAATTCGTTGGAATGATTGTACTATATAAATTTGATGAATTTCCTCGTTTCTTTCCAGTATAAGGATGTGGGATTGCCAAACTTCAAATGTTGTTCGCCTTTTATCACTGGCACACTCGCAACAAGTGACTGGACTATCTGCTCATCCATCAGATGATCAGTTGTTCCTCTCATCAGGAATGGATGGGAATGTTCTTCTTTGGGATTTAAGATGTCAGAAGCCTGCATCCTGTGAGTATATATTACCCCTGGCATACAGCACCAACATGTGGTAATTAAAAAAATGTAGGGTAAGGCCTTTATTGTACCTCGTTTTACCCTCAATAAGGATTTAAAGAGTTCTGTGGGCACTGTTGTCTTGGCTTCAGATTACTGCTTACCATGACTCCCAAGTCTTTTTTCTCATTCTGTACATCACCTGGTTTATAAGTATGAGGGTTATTTTTATTCCTAAGGATTAGGACTTTACACTTGTTTACATTGAACTGCATCTGCATCTTCAGTTCCTGAAGTTCCTCCTCAGAATCTATTATTCGGCCTATTTTTGTGTCTTTGATTCGTGTCTCTTGTTACTCCTTCATTAAGATCATTAGTGTAAATTATGAACAACAGATTTCACCCCATTTATGCAAACACTTTGCTTTCTATGGTTAGCCATTCCTCGATCTATGTTAGATTTTTTTTTTTTTTTTTTTTTTTTTTTTTTTTTTTTTTTTTTTTTTTTTTTTTTATGAATCCCCAGCAGGGTATACAATAATTCTTAACCCTTTCAGGGTCTGTGCCATAGATCTACGGCTTTGAAGCTAGGGTCCTAACCAAAGATCTACGCCAAAATTCTAGCGGCTTCAAATTTAGTGCAAGAAGGCTGGTAGGCCTACATCCAAGAGAATGGGTCTTTGTGGTCAGTGTGCGCAGTAAACAAAAAATTGAGGCGCCCACATGGCATTGTGGGAATGCCATCTCAGTACGCTTTGTTCACCATGCCTCGCAGCAAGGAAACTCACTCCAAGGTGAATTGGAACTCTCCTCTTCACAAGTGATAACTCAGACACTGATGGAAGTTGATCTGAAGAGGAATTTTATGGTTTTGATCAATTTGTGACTGAAAGCAATGCTCAGGACATCAAAAATAGTGCCGAAAATCCTGATGACCCTCAACCTTCGACTGTGGTGCCGGTGCCTCTCAGTCATGTTGAGTTGTACCTCATCACAAGAGAAAACTAATATTTTTGCATGGCCAGGCCTCAGATTTGAGTAATGGTGATGATAGTGACGTGGATTTTGATTTTATTGCTCTTTATGACCTTTCGAGTAGTGATAGTGAGGAATCATATTCACCAGTGAAGCATCAGTTTATACGATGCCACATGCGTTCGGATAGTGTACCATATGCAATTCCAAGGGGATGGAGTACATCTCATGGCCCTACACCTGGCATAGACAGTGAAAGTGATGATAATGTGGTTACAATTGGTTTGGATAGACCACAGGCATCAGTAGGTGATGGTGATAGTGGTGGCGGTGGTATCACGGGCATGCAGCACAAGCTCAGGCTGAGACCCAAGCCGCTGACTCAGCAGGTCCAGGACAAAGCACATCTTGATCCACCACCACACCACAACCTGCACAATCACAACCACATCTTTGATGTCCAGTACCCACCAGCATACTGCATCTGGGATTGGCAGCAAAATCCCAATTTTCTTCTCAATCCCCATCAGTTTGATGATACTCAAAGTGGAATCCTGCCATCTTGTTCCCTTGAAAACACTGCAAATGAACTGGAATTCTTTGAACTATTCTTTGACCAGCCCTTGATGACACAATCAAGACTACACCGGTGGAAGGAGACAACTGTGGCTGAAATGCATTTGTTTTTTGCAACAATAATCCTTATGCCTCATGTCTACAAGCATAATATAAAATTGTACTGGTCCACAGATCGGCTAATTTCAACCTCGGTCTTCAGTGAAATCATCCCAGTGAACAGATTTATCTTATTGTTACATATGTTGCACTTCTCTGACAAAACCACCCTGACAGAAATTTCTTCCATTCATAACCTTATTAGGTAACTTAAGTACACCAACAACTCTGCTTGGAAACTTTGGGGCCATTTTAAACAAAGGGGGATTTTAAAAATTTTAGGCAGCCCTGATGACCTATGTCAGTTTGTGAAATTTTTTTCCCGGGGGGTTTCCATGGGGTTGGATTATTTTTAATGTGGAAAGTTTGGGGCCCAAAAGAAACCCCCCTAAGTCAAACTTCCAAAATCAACAGATTCACTAAAATCTGCCTGGGGAAAAAAATTTTTGGGAAAACTCACCCCCAAAATTTAAACCATTTTCCAATTTAAATACTTTGTTTCCCATTTTAAAATTTTTAAACCCAAAAACCTTTAATTTTTTTTTGCAACTCCATTCTCCAATTGGTCCTTCATAAAAAACAAGGAAACAACCCCAGAAAAGAAAAGGGTACCTATGTTGTGGGGGTTTCCCCCTTAAACTTTAACCCAAACCTCTCCCCCTCCATCTTCCTTACCCTTAAAAAAATAAAAAGGTAATTTTATCTGTTAAGTTTATTACTGAAAATTTTTTTTTTACTACTCAATAATTTCTGAAAAAAAAATTTTTGTTTTAAATACTTTTAAACATTAATTGAACATTATTTTCCGGGGGAAAATTTTTAAAAAACCTTTCATAAGGGGGGGGTTTGGGGCCCCTGTATTTCAATTAAAATCCACGATCTTTATTTTGGCCTAATAAAAAAAAGGAAAAAAATAAAAGGTTTCAGGAAAAACCCTGTCAAAAAATACCTTTTAAATTCCTGGTTCCATTAAAAAAATTAACTCGTTCCCTTAATTTTAAAAACTTAATGTTCCAAGTAATTATATAAGGGAAAATTATTGATGAACTGCTTTTAACAGAATAATTTTCCTTTTCATTTTTATTAACACAAATTTTTTTTTATTAAATCGATTTTTCTAGAGTTTATTTTTTACAGGGAAACCAACGGGAAAAAACCCCGGAGTGTGAAACCCGGTTTAGGAAGTGCGTTCTAGCATGCACTGGGAGAAATTTTTTTTTGGTCTACAGAGTGGAGCTTTAGCCTTGGGGAAACAAAAAGTTTGAATTGATATTCCCTCATTTCAACCTTTTAAAAAGACCATTGTCAGAATTGCAGCAAATCCTAAGTGATTTTTTTTAAAATTAGTTTTAAATTTAAAGCGTCCCCCTTTAACCCAAACCCTTTTTTAAAGGCGGGGCGGCCTCTCCAAAGTTGTTCTGGGGTGGAAATTACGGTTACGGGGGAAGAATTCTGTTCCCTTCCCCATGGAGATAAGGGAAATAAACAAGAAAAAGAACTAGAAAGAAAATAAAGAAAACCCAAGGGACCTGTATAATTTACTTTCTTTCAAACACCGGGCCTACCCCACCAAGGCAGGGGGGCCCAAAAAAGAAAAACGAAATTTTCCTTAAATTTATAATTTATACGGGAGAAGGGGGTTACTAGCCCCTTCTCCCGCATTTTAGCACCTTTTACAACACCAGGGCTTACGAGGAAAAATTCTGTCCATTTCCCCATGGAGATAGGAAATAAACAAAACAAAACTAGAAAGAAAATAGAAGAATACCTGAGGGGTGTGTATATATATCTTTACATGTATGTTAGTGTGCCCTAATGTAAGTAAAGTAGCAAACGTACCGGGGGAAATTTTGCATTTTTAGAACAAAAAAAAGGACCCCAAAATCCTACCATATGTAAAAAATTACAGGCTTTCGTTTTACCTCATGGCAGGAGGGAAGTACCTCCCGGGGCGGTTGCTGTCTTCCCAACCCAACTACCTAGATCAGTGCATTTGGGGAAAGAATTTTAAACTCCCATTTTGACACTATTGGCACGTCCCATTTTTTTACTTTTGAATTTTTGGGCAAAAATCAAACATTTCTGCTACTTGACTCTTTTTAAAGGTACTTTTTTTTGCAAAAACCAATCAAAAATCATCTCAATTTCTTAAAAAGTCTTCCATTCTAAAAATAACCAGGAAAATGAGAAACAACCATAAATACCTACGAAATACACTGAAAAGTTGCTTTTTTAAAGCAAAAAACATGGTCGAGTTTTTTTTTTTTTTTTCTCTTTATGTTGTGTGCTGCGGGATTTTTTATACTTTTCACAGCCACATAGCCCAGAAATTTCATTGTGGGCCCTCCCACTTTCCTGCTAGTTTTAAAGGGTTCTAGTTTTTACGGTACTGATGGCCCCAAACCCCTGGCGGCAAGCCGTACTAGTACGCCCCCGCCCCTAAAAGGGTTAAACGTCACAGTAAACTACGGACGTGGCAGTGTCCGAACGTAGTTGTTTTTTTTTTGGGTCCTTCAAATTTTGGGCACGATAGCTCGGGGTCGCCAACATGAAAGAATGGGTTTGTGCACTCGTGTGCCCAGTTAAAAAAAATTTGGGGGACACTTAGTCCCTTTTTGGGGAGAACATTTCAATTTGAGCTCCACTTGAGAAAATAGCATGGAAAACCCCATGATTCACTGTGTCATTCATTTTAACACTCATTTTTTAAGAAGAAAGAAAAAAATAGGTTAGTAAATGCATGAGGGGGGGGTGGGGAGTTGGACCTGATAGTTTGGGCTATAGGTCAGATCCATGCCCCTTTCATTCAGTGGTGGACCTGACTGGGGGTCATTGGTCTAACCCGGGGGGGTGACATGGACCTCCTTGCAGGGGCCTGGGCCTGCTGCAGTGTTCCTTTTGCTTATTTCTTATGTTTAGGTGCGGGTTTTTGGGGCCCTGTTTTTCTTTCTTTTTTCTCTTCTGTCTATTCTTTCTTTTCTTGTCTCTCACATGTATTCATAAGTTCAGTTTTTTAACATTTGGGGAAAACCCCAAAAATTCCAGGCAAAGTGCTAACAGTTTTGTAGATATAAGCTTAAATAAACTGACCAAGTAATAGCAGTCCCCCTTTCTCAGCAAATCGGGGAGGCACTAAACCACAAACCAACAGGTTTACTAGCTGCTCCCTCAGAAAGAGACAACGTGGAAAAGAGATACACACAGGCAACAGAAAGATAAGCAGAAAAAGAGACAGATAACAGAGCTAGAAAACAGATACACTGACTACAGACAAAAGACTATTTAGACATATTTGTGTGCACAGTAAAAATTTTATAAAGCCAAGGTTCCCCACAGAGCGCGCTTTCATAAAATGTCCTGCTGTCATTTGTTTCTGCCCTTTGTCATAGCCCCATTCTTCAAGGGTTTCATATTATACCCAGGCACACCAGAAGACAAAGACAGAAAAAACAGAGCTAGGAGAACAGAACAAACTACAGAGACTGTTTTGGAAAACAGTAAAACATATAAGCCAAGGTTCCCTCATAGTCACAATCACAAATGTCACGGGCAGCCCATTTGTTTCTGACACTTTCAAAAACCCCATTCTTCTAAGATTTCATAACCCCCAGGTGTCTAAAAACATTGCTGGGACCTAAAAATATTTGATATTTTTTCTAGAAAATAGTAAAGACCAAGGCGGTGAAAATGTTCCCGTCAGGTGATTTTTTTACTTTTTGGTCTATTTCAATAAATAAATTAGTGTCAAACAAGTTTGGGGTATGAAATCACAAGAGCATTAAAAATTTGAAATTATCAGAAAATAAATTATAAAAATTTTAAAAAGAAACGAAAAAAAAACAACAGCCCCACTTTTTGCAAGCGGCAGGACGGATGTTCTGTGGGGTACATCCAAAACCCAAATTTCCCTTTTCAAATTCAGTAAGTACTGATCAAAATTTTTTTTTTTTTTTTTTGGCCCTTATACAAAACAAGAAAATTGCCCCTTTAATTAAAAAAAAAAATTATTTTTAAAAATTTGGGAGCCCACCAGGCGAATGTTCATTAATTTGGACTTTTAACCCCTTTTTGAGGGTTTTGGCCGACTAGTAGGGCAAAGCCCCCGGGTTTTTACGTACTAGTACCCCAAAATTCTGACGCCCTCAAATCTAGGGGGAGAAACTGGTGGCCTCATATGAAAAAAGGGGCCCTTGGGTCTTGCCAGTATAAAAAAATCCTGCAGCACAAGTGCATAATGAAAAAAAACTTTGACCTTTTTATTGGAATAAAACAGCAATTTTGACTTTTTTTCGATTTTTTTTTTGTTTTTTTTAGTTTTCCGGGCTCATTTTATAGAATGGAAACTTTAAAAATTGAGATGATTTTGACGGGTTTTACAATGAAAATACCTTAAAATTGAGCTCAAAATAGCAGAAATGTTTGTTTTTACCAAAGTTAAAAAAAAAAATATGCAACCCCAAATACACTCTACGGTGAGTCTAATATTCTTTTGCAAGTGCGCCAATTTTATTTTACTTTTTTTACACTAATGCAGTATCGAAACATAAATCTTCTTTTTTTTGTGAGAAAAAAAAATCAAAGTGGAAAGCAAAAGAATGTAAGAGGGTCCTGGGAGTACTAATGAACGGGG